TTTTAGAAAAAAGTTTTTTTTTCTAGTTTTTCCCCTCTCGCTACCTTAATTAATGTACAACCACAACAGCTCACATGATTAAGATTGGTATACAACAAACACAGTATTATTAGACATAAAATTCTTAAGTTACAGAGCCCAAAGAACACAGGGCAGATGTACTCACATGTTTAGCTTCTCTCTCCCTCCACTCAAAAAGTTCCTTGCATGCCATCTGTTCTGAAGTCATACCTACCAATTTAGATGGAGATATATCCCCCTTTAGAACTCTACGAAATAGACCCTGTAAAAAAAAAAGTGATTAATTTCAGACTGCAAATCTACGAAATAAAGTAAAACTCTCAAAATGGAATGGATCTTGTCAACCAGGAATGGAGTGTTATTTACACATCAATATTTTTATTGAATAGAACAACTTGTATTCAATTTTGTTATTCCATGTGACCAGAGGAAAGAAAAACTTTGGGTAAGAGACAGTCTCACATTGTCTCAAAAGTCGTCTTTTGTTCATTCTAAGTTTGGAACCCCCTCTAAACAAAATGTTGATACTTGTAAATAATCCATGTGTGTAATACTATACATCAGTTATTAATTTTGAAGTTGTGTACATTGGTATCCACTGTCAGTTGTGTGTTGGGCTTGCACATTTAACACACAACATTATAACCTTTTTGACCTAATGTGTTTTCTTCCTTTTTTGTTTGTGTGTGTTGCTCTGTATTTTCCTTCAAACATTTTCGTAATATCAACCAGTGTGAGATTGAACTATATCAAATGAAATCAAATAAAAAACAAAGAAAGCTTAGAAAAACCTCCTGTGTGCTGAGAGTACTGAAGACACATTAAAAATTAATTCAAAATTTCTTGTACTTGAGATTGAGGGAAAACTAATTATGTAAATCAGGTAACTAATATGAACTGATTTGGGTGTAAAACTAGTAAGGTCTGCGTAATGTAATATCTATGTACCAAGTTTCATTGAAATGTGATTAGAACAAAAAAATTATGAATTATTATGAACAAATTTGTTTTAACCCCAAATTAAACAGGCCTGTCCTATGTACCATTTGAAGAATAATTTAACATTGTTTACAGTGATAACAGCTCAATGTCCAAATGAAGCTTACCCATTCACGCTAATCGCAATAAACATCGTACTCTTGAATAGGCGTCAATAATGACTACGATAAAACTCTATTTTAGGTGTCAGGAATGATTGAAATGACTGAAAAATGATGTCAAAATACACCTTAAAAGTCCCATTTTATTTTTTTAAATCCCATTTTATTTGTTCAATCCAAACTGCCATTTAACGGCCCAGGGCGAAATTGCGGCAGAATCTGGTCCCTCAAATAAGGGACATGTGAGCTTTGATTATAACCAGATATATTGCACTGGGTCGGGGAAATACAAACTGTCCCAGTTGCTAAACTTCCATGTATCTTTTGTCCAATGGGTACCTGTACTTCAAACATTCGCAAGTTTTCCTAGGTGGTACAAGACAGCTTTGTCTTTTGACCTATTAGTTTTGTGCTGACCTCTTTCTTAATGTTTTGTTTTCCTTGTCATAATACTCACTGATTGATTACTTTGTTTTGATTTTGAGTTACAACTAGGCCACAACCTTTGCTTTTACCGTGAAACATGGGGAAGCCGTGAAACATGGGGAAGTTTACGTCAATTTGACGGACATTCCATTTTCTAAAAACTAATGAAGCACACTGTCTATCATCCCATTTTTTTTTCATTAGCTGATTTCTATTCTGAAAAATCAACCGTTTGAAAATGCACCTTAATTTTGACTCTAAAAACATGTCAGATTCCCAAAACAAACTATTTAAAACGGCCGAAATTTTGAGTTTTCATGGTGCATACATACAGACATACAGACAGGGTAGCTGCAAAGACTCCCTTTTGTGCTTCGCACACGGGGATCAAAAAATACAAATGTTTGTAACCTAACTAGTTTCTGAATTATGAGTCGCAATTGTATGAACTGTATTATACTTTAGGTAAACTGCTAAATTTGAGACTGCCCTTTTTTATTTGCTTTTATTTCATCAAAGCTTTCAACATAACAAAATACCAAGTGGTTTTAAATTTACTGAATTTTTACACGTTTGTCATGGTCCTAACACAAAGAACAATATCAGTCTTTTCTCTTTTTAGTTGTAGAAGATCTTCATAACCCAAAAAACAAATTTGATCAAATACTGAGAGTAAAAGGTTCATGATATATCACCTTATTATTGACGTCTTTCAAGTTGAACATCAAAGTGCGATACTTCGCTTTGTACTTGGAACTTGTATCCTGGTATAATTTGAACAATTCATGTTCTATGCGGTTTACCACTTTTTCAATTTCTTCAGACCGTAACTTGATGCCCCGGCTTTCTCTAGCTCTACAAAAAATATATATTTAAATCAATTGTACCAATACATTCATTGAAAAAGCGTCGTGTTCGTCGCACTGCGCATGTGCAGCATTTGTGTTGATCAACAATGATTTCCCACAATCCAATGTGCTCTTCTAATGGAAATCACAAGTATGAGGTTTAACCTGGGCTCGACATGCACTGATCGCCGCCGGTGACTCTTTCCATACATTCCAATCACCTATTAATTACCTAATTAAAGCTTGGAAATGTCTCAGTTTGTACCCGTTGATCTGGCAACAGTAAAGTCGCCATCTTTGTTTATATGAGATCCATATATCTCACGCATGCATGGCGACTACCGTAAAAATCATATTTGAGGCCACATGCCGTTTTCCCATCAAAATCAAAGCCAAACGATTGCACTACAACAACGGTAAATCTCTTCCGGGTTTCTTTTACCACGAGGTCGCTGAACTACATTAACATATTTAAATGAGCTATGGTAATTTGAGAATTTATGAGAATTTTGAGAGCTATGAGAATTTAACACTTTTGACGATAAAAAAAAATAAGAAAATAAATATATATTACATTTAATAATATACTGAGTATTTTTTGTTATCATGCTAAAATTTTTTTTGATTGACTTTTTTATTTGTTTATTTTAATTTCCCTGATGTCTAAATTAAATATGGAATGTACAGTCACTCTGCCGGAAGTTGAACATGCCGGAAGTTGAACATGCCAGTAGTCGAACGCAATCGACTGTGCATGGAAGGTACTAATGTTAACACCTTCCATGGACTGTGTCAGACGGCTGTCTCTCAGTTGTAACCTATACCGGTGCTAACGAATTAGTCTATTCAAGAGATTGTAGTATACAGTACCGTAATCTGCAAATGCATACAAATCTACTTGTAGATAATATTTATTGTGCAGTATGTTATACAGTGTGAAATTTTGTTTGTGTACAAGTTTGTCTGTGTGTAAAAATCCGAAAGTGCCTTAGAATCACAACAAAGTTGCAATCAAGTGTTGTGCATCTCATTAGCATATCATTATCCCTTCCGGCCTTTGTTTTCTGAAAAAAATTCCCACTGTTACCGAAGTGAATGCTCTAATTAAAGCCGCACCAAAACTTCACGCATCTGAATTCGTCCATTGAAAAAATGAATTTTAATTAAAGCCGCGGCCTCAATTAGGAATTTTACGGTTCTGCCCTTTAAGCATATTTGCTATATTACTGGTACTGGTAGAAGTGCATTTCCAAATAATGTGTACAAAAATTGCTTGTATTGTACACTTGATCATTAAAATACAACTTGTTTGACGATAGACGCACTTTTGACATTTACATGATGATGACGACGACGTCGACGACGGCGGCGGCGCTGACAATGATGATGCTGCTGCTCAGAGTCCTTGGAACATTGCAATATCCCTTACAACATTGCCAGCAATGTTTGTTTTTACTTTGCCACTTTCAATCCCAACAAACAATTCAATCTTATGAATGTTCCACATTTGCACACAGTGAATGATTATCTGATCACAAAAAAATATAATTTTATTTCAAATTTTAGGTACCCATGAAAGATAGTGGGATATGCAAATAAGTGTTGTTAATCTCGCCAGGTTGAAGATAAAAAGGTCATAAGAAACACCACTGTCAATGTTCAGAGGAACATTACAATGTTGCAAGCTGTTTTCCTGATCAGTGTATTTTGTATTACAATGCTACTGTAAGCTAATCTTCATACTGTAAGCTAATCGTCTTTTGAGTCAACAATTTTACACAATACAAAGATTGAAATCATTCTGGGTTTGGAGTTACTGAGAACGCAGCTTTGAAAGATTTGAAAACCCACCTTCCAATCATTTGTTCTTTTAATGTTTTTCTGACGTTATGTCTAACATCACTCTGTGATGGAGGAGGTGGAGGGGCTGCTGGTTTGGAATGTCGTTTCCTTCTGCGAGGTGGCTCTTTACTCAGTTCTTGTTCTTGTTCCTTCCTGTGTTTTCTTTCTTTTCTATGCTCCTTTTCCAACCTGTTTTCCATTTCCTTTCTGTGCTCCTTTTCTTTCCTACGCTCTCTTTCTTTCCTGTGCCCATTTTCCCGTTCCTCACGTTCACGCTGGTGGTCTCGTTCTTTTCTTTCATCTCTCTTCTTTTCATGCGCTTCTTTTTCTTTTGCTATGAAGTTTGAAACAATGCCCTGTAAAATGCATGTCTAGAAAACCGTGCATACTTTATAGAATTCTCTTTACATAAAGTGGAATTTTTCACAGTTATTGAAACCTGTCAAGTGTATGTGAAAATATATGGAGTCTTGCACAGCACAATTTACTCAATATGGTGACGGGACAGAGCAATGGCCGACAAGAAAAATCAACTGTTGAAAACCATTATCGTTCTGTCGCTATTTTAATTTGAAGAAACACCTTCCCGAACAACAAAAAACAAAGTCATCATTGGATCTTAGTACTGTAAAATCTGTATTAGAAGCCTCATCCCTAATAAATCACCATTTTTTATATGTGTAGATGCTCTAATAGAAGCTGCATCCCCTCTGTTGCATTGTACAATTTTATTAGAAGCTGCGGCTTTTAATAGAGATTTTACGAAACAAAAATAATCTCTAACAGGGCATATGGCAAATACACGTGTAAAAATATTATTCATAAAATGTTTAATTAACCAAAAATTAGTGAAGACAGCTGTTATCTTTTTATGTTGTCGTAAACTGTAGTCAAGTGGTAGTTTAGCGCGGTAACTGAGCGCTTCAGTTTTCACGAAGATATGAGTTGAGCGTACGCTCACTTTCAAAAGTAAGCGTGGGGACAAATCATGGAATGCTGGTAATGTAATGAAAGCTACTCTCAGTTTAACATGAAGTTAACCCAGGCATGAGATAGAGGTCTAGACACATACACCTACGGCCCGGGAGGTATGTAAATTAGTCTCTAGGTGGTAGTTGAGCGCGGAAACTGAGTTCCTCAGTTTTCACGAAGATACGAGTTGAGCGTACCCTCATTTTCAAAAGTAAGCATGGAGACAAACCATGGAATTCTGGTGATGTAATGAAAGCTACGCTCAGTTTAACACAGACTTGGTACAAATGTGACTCAATTTATGAAAAGAAAAGAAATAATGAAACATTGAGTGATTAAAAGTCTCAGAATGAGTAACTAACCTGGTTGTGACATGCCAGCATATCTGTGTTGAATTCCTGGTCTTAATATTTCATAAGAACCATGTCTTATCAGCCAAGGGAATAAATGTTCAACTGTTGGTGCAGAGATACCTGCTAGCATTCTCCCTGTATGCCGCTCAATTACAGCTATCCTATCATCAGCTTTCAGTTTTACATCAACTGATTTATTTCCACTCTGCAATTAAGAAAATGATGCAACCAGGAATTGCGTTAACCCCATATTTTGCTTCCTGGACTCCAATTGTTGAAGAGGGACCCAGTTTTTTAGGCAAGCTGGGGTCCAATCAAGTTATCCAGGGTAAAATTTCAATTTCTTAAAATTTTGTAAGTGGGACTCGTCTTGCTAAGACACTGGCACAAACCCTGTGCAATTATGCAAGATGCAGACAACCTACATCATTTCTTTGTAGTTGCCTAGATACAGTATTTATGTTCATTCAAATCACATTGCACAATCTCTCAGTGCAGTTCACAAATCATATTGAGACATATATAAAACCTTTTTTTATTTTAGACTAATATTTTTTTCAAATACTGTTTCAGTACCATAATGTCAATCAAATTCCATATCACCAGTGACCAACATAACTTTATACACAAACTTATTCTCATTTACCTGGCCATCTGCTTTAGTTTGGACTCCATGTGTTCTTTCTCTGTCTTTTTCTATCATTCTTAGCGATTCCTTTACATGTCGTTCAAGACACTCGTTACCACAATAAACAGTGTTTTCTTTCGCCCATTTACCACAACGTGATCCAATACAGTACTGCTGTGGTAGAGGCTAGAAATTGGAAAGTGTGAAAATGATTCAATATTTGGCTGTTTCTAGTGGCTTACAGATATCACAAACATTGTATAAATAAATTACTATTATTGTGATTCTAGTAACTTTAATTGATTATCCAAGAAGCCATTGGTGGTGTAGAGGTCGAAGGTAACAATCAGGTCGAAGGTGGCTAGTAGCTCAAAAGGTGGCGAGTAGCTCAAAAGATGACTATCAGGCCAAAGGTGACTATCAGGCCAAAGGTGACTATCAGGCCAAAGGTGAGGTTAGAGGTAATGTGAAAAGTCAAATATAATGAGTTATGAATAGTTCAATGTGATAATTGGAGATGATAAAACAATGACATCCTTCCTAATTCACTGTATGCAGGTAAATAATACTTAATAATACACTAATTTGTTACATAATAATTACAGGTAATCAGTTATTAAACCTGTTGTTTACACAATCAAACTTGTGTATAGCAACCACCAAACGGGTAATATTAAAATGGTCTGTAGACAGGTGGTCTTTATATGAAGGTTTGATTATTAAAGATCACCAACTCATAATATTTGACCAGAAAATACTGAAATGTGAATGTTGTAACAGAGACATTTATTTGAGTTGATCAAAATCAAATAAGTTTGACTAAGAAAATACAAAATTCTTAACAAAGGCATATTTCTTAAGGAGTGGTCACATAAGACAGGTTGCTCATACATTATGCTTTGGTACTGCCTAAAAGTGGTCACTATATAAGTGGTCACTAATAGAAGTAGAGTAACTGTAATTACCTTTTTAAATATTTTGATTCTTTTTCTCTTTGTATCTGTTTCATCATCTGGTTTTCTGTCTTCATCTTTAGAGTTGTCTGTTTTATCTGGAGTACTTTCAGCGTGTGTATTCATTGTTTTATCTTTGTCTATGTACACAAAGCAGTTACAGTTACATACTGACCTACATGCCCACGATTTTTCTCAAATTGTTTTCATGTACTAGTGCACAAAACTTTAACCTTTTCACCACCAGAATTTCTTGTCTAAATTTTTCTCCACTTTTTTCCTATATCTTTCAATATTTCTGGAATTGAACCCTAATTTTGGAGCCAACAGACAAAATATGAATCAATTTTCAGTTTTTATTCAAATATTTAGCTATTTTTTTCCCAAGTAATGCAGACAATAGACAGTGATAATTTGTGATGAAAAGAAGGAACTGGTGGGAAAAGATGAAGTGTAATGGCAAAGTCAAGATTTTCAAATATGCTAGATTTTGTAGTTGAGTTGAAGCATTTGTCACAAAACAAGCTGATTTCTGATTGGCTTGACTGTTAGGTGTTGGGATTGTGTGGCCAATCAGACATGATTTCTTGAAAGAACTTGTCAACAAACAAGCTGGTTTCTGATTGGCTTGACTGTTAGGTTGTGTGGCCAATCAGACACAATCTTGGTAGTCATGTTGACTTGACTTTGATTTTGCAGTCATGCTAAGATGAGGAAAAATGACAAAATTCTATTTTTTTAAGACTTTAAACAAAACAAAATATATTCGGGGCTGCTCTGTTTAGATTGTAGCTTTGGGGCCAAGTGTGAAAACTGCAGTTAAGGTAGAGATGCAGTTTATTTGGCTTGCTTTTTAATTGAGTAATTAGACAATGAAGATGGTATTATATATCCAACATGTTATATATTTTCTGAAAGCTTATTATACAAACTTTGTAAAACTTGTCTTTATTTTAAATATCCAGAATGCGTTTTTGATTTTGGGTCAAAAATATGCTTTTT